TTTTAAGAACCTGCTCTCAAGGGAACTAATTCATTCTATGAGAATACAAACTCACCCCTGCAGCAGGGTATTAATCTATTCATGAGCGATCTGCCCCCATGGCCTAAACACCTCCCCCTGGGCCCCACCTCTCAACACTGCCACATTGGGGAATCAAATTGCAACACGGATTTTGACAGGAACAAACCATAGCTGGTACTACATCAGTTTTTCTCTTGCTGCCTAGCAATAACCTCCCCAAAACTTAACACATCCACCATCTGCTTAACTCACAGTTCTGTGGGTCAGCAATTTGGGTTGGATGTTCTTCTGGTCTCAACTGTGCCTATTCATGCTACGTCTTTGGTCACCTACCAGGTTACTTGGGGACTGGCTGGACCACAGAGACCTCAGCAGGAACAGCTAGCTTGTCTTAGTTCCACATGGTCTCACAAATGGTTGTGACAAGGTTCCAAGACAGCCAAGGTTCCCTGAGGCCTGAGCTCAGAACAGGCACACTCTAGCTCCTGCTATCCAAGGTAGAATCTGTTTCCTCCTCCCCGAATCAGGGTTGGCCTTATGACTTGCTTTGGCCCACAAACCGAGGCAGCAGTGCCAGTCACATTACAGAGGGAGTGGATGCACGAAGAAGTGAAGGATTGGGCACAGTTCTATTTCCACCAAGACAATCCACCTTATCGCTTGATTTCGACAGCTAGGTCTGCCATTGAACACATGATGTACTAGATAAAATCTGGAGGTTCATTTGGCTATATTTAGACGTTGACAGCTCTGAGAATAATCTTCCTGTAAAGTTAATTGTTAGAGTTTGCATCCCCTGAGCTATAGACTGTAGGAAGAGATTGGTGTGCAGGATGTTTATCAGGAAGTGCTCTCAGGATTGACACCTGTGGGAGAAGGGAAGGCAGGAAGATTGGGTGGAGGGTGAGGTGGTGATGCGTTGCAGTCTCAACAAAGGCCTCAGCTAACCCACAGGGAGGGCTAAGCTGGGGCGGCTCACCAGAGTTGTCCCAGGCTGGTGCAAAGAAACCAGACCTTTCTGCCCTGACACCAGCCAGTCAGTAGATGACAGCTGTCCTGGGCAGGGGGCTGACCTTGGGCTAGGCCACTCCCTTCAGCCAAGGGCAATCCTGGCTAATAGTTGAAGGTTGTCAATTGGCAGAATTTTCAACCTGGGGAAATATCCTTCATTTCTGAAAGGGGATCTGGGTAGTGTACCATGGAAAATATGTGGAATTTTTCTCCCTTTCATTTTTAAATTTATGATACCAAAATCCTGACAGGAGAAAATAGAGGCTGTCCTATTTCTTCTCATTACATATTTAATATATAACTAAACTGAAGGGAAGGCTGCAGGATGGTTGGTTAGGACTGAATGAGGAAGTTTGACTAGGTCCAGGCAGGGAGGAACTAAGGCCCCTTGCCAACAGCCATCACCAGCTTGCCAGCCGTGGGAAGGCATACAATGGAAGTGGATCATCTAGCCCCAGTCAAGCCTTCAGATTAGGCAGCCCCAGCCATACCCTGCTGAGAGACCTCATGAAAGACTGTGAACCAGGACTGCCCAACTGAACTGGCCATGAATTCCTGACCCGTGGAAACCACAAGAGTTACTGTATTCATTTGCTGGGGCTGTCATAACAGAATGCCACAGACTGGCAGCTTAACAACACAAGTTGATGTGTCACAGTTCTGATGGCTGAAGTCCAAGATCAAGGTGTTGACAGATTTGGTTTCTCCTGAGGCCTCTCTCCTTGGTTGGCTTACAGAGGCATCACTGTGCTCTCACGTGGCCATTTCTCTGAGTGCACTTATCCTTGGCATCTCCTCCCCTTCTTATAAGGACGCAGGTCTTAGTGGACTGGAGCCAACCCTATGGCCTTAATTACCTCTTTAAAGGCTCTGTCTCCAAATACAGTCACATTGGAGGTGAGGGATCCAGCATATGAATTTCAGGGAAACACATAACACACAAATTCAGTCCATAACAAACAATACATTATTGTTGTCTTAAGCCACCGAGTTTTGCGTGATTTGTGATGGATTAGTAGATAACGCAAACTTGTTTCATCCGGTGTGAGGGAAGGTAGCATAACTCAGTGAACTGAGCAATGGATAGTAAACTCAGAAGCTTCGAGTTGTTTTTAAAAATGGACTGTCTTGGCTGGGTACAGTGGCTCACACCTATAATCCCAGCACCTTGGGAGGCCGAGGTGGGCAGATCACAAGGTCAGGAGTTTGAGACCAGCCTGGCCAAAATGGTGAAACCCTGTCTCTACTAAAAATACAAAAATTAGCCGGGTGTGGTGGCATGCTCCTGAAATCCCAGCTATTCAGGACGCTGAGGCAGGAGAATTGCTTGAACCCAGGAGGTGGAGGTCGCAGTGAGCCAAGACCACACCACTGCATTCCAGCCTGGGCGAAAGAGTGCAACTCCGTCTCAAAAAAAAAAAGACCGTCTTTTGCCATTCAATCAATCTCCAAGACCCCTAGTTCTCCTATTACGAATATTTGGGAGAAAATCACTGACCAATCTTTCAAGGTTATTATGTGAAATAATTACCTTTTCTTTCAAAGATAGAAAGGCACTTTAAAGAATCTCTAAATATCTCAAACCCCTTGACATTAAGCAACAGTGAAAGATTTGTATATGCACCACTTTGTTTTTATATTCCTGTCTGCCATTCTAAATATCAAGTTACAACCTCACAAGGTCTTGATGTTAAAGCTATCTGCCCAGAAATGGTAAACCAGCAGCTCCATAGTCTGTGACTCACAACAGATTAGATACTTTAAAAATAGTTTGGAAAAATTTCACATTGGGTCAAGGAGTAACAGAGAGAACTGATTCTCAGAGGGATTCGTTATGACCAGAGTGGGCACTCAGGCAGTGTTGCCTGTGTGTTGAAGAGACAGGCAGAGAACGTCTTCCCAGCTGTCAAAAAAAGTATTATAATTGGCATTCTTCCTCTGTTCTTGCACTGTTGGAATCATGACTTAATGAACAGAAAGAAGGCAGAGAGACACACACACACGGCTGGGAGGGTGGCCCTTTTTTCTGAACAGTGGCCGGGGTCTTCGGGATTCTTATTCATTCTGTTCTCCAGAGTAGCCAAGCTCCAAAGAAAAGATGTTGGATCTTTTTAATATGATAAATGCCCTGCCTCTGTCATCTCCCCAGGGACCCATGAGGGGACTCACTTGTTCAGCAGTCATTTTCTAGCAGCTTATCATCTGCCTGGCACTGTCCTAGGCACTGAGCATTCGGAGACAGTTGATCATTCCTGCCCTTGAGAGTCTCCCCAGCAAGAAGAGCTGCTCCTGTAGAAGCAGAACCCTGGAGCTAAATCCATTGAGGGGGCGTATCCTGCCTCTTCACTCATTGGGCAGCAAAACTGACAGATGAAATATCTACTCCTGCAGATCCACAGGTCGCACGGCCTTGCATTCGCATCGTTCTGGTCACGGGGATGCAAGCGCGTAGGGTGAAAAATGGAAATGTTCAGCAGTGTGTTACTTTGCTCTCTGGGCAGATAGAGTTCTCAAGGTAAAATCTGCATCCCTTAATCCTGATGACGGCCACTTAGGATTCATCTTGAATTTTTCCACCCTGGAGGGACAACTCTGAGGACAGGGCTCAATATTGGTGGTGTAGAGTTGGGGTGTTCACTGGAGTGAATCACAGATAGCCTATAAATAGCCCCTCTGCTGGGAGGCAGACTGCACCGTGATTATCTTTTTCCCTAACTTGGGCTGGCAATGTAAATAAAGGACACCACCTAGGTATGCGGGTAGACCTTAACTATGTGTATTCCAATAAACCATCACGATAAAACTGTCACCAATTTCAAAGCCAGGGGCAGGCGCCAGTGGCAGAGGGTGGCAGAGTGAGTGTGAGATGACAAGGTATGGGTGGAGGACGTGGACAGCTTTATCTAGAAGCTTGGTGTGAAGAGGAGATGTAAGTGAGGGCTTGGCTGGGGGAGGAGGGGGACCCAGGGAGGGCACCTCTTTTAAAAGATGAGAGTGACTCGGCATGTTCCGTGCTGGTAGGAGGTTTCCTGCACCTTGAATTTCACTGCACCCAGGCCTCTGTTAAATTGAAATACCAGATTTGTCTCACAGGGTTGCTGTGAGGCTCTAATGAGATAATCATGCAACGTTACTCCCTCAAAAGCCCAGTGGCTAGCAAACACTAAAGCCAAGATCTGAACCGAGGCAGCTGGGCTCCAGAACCCACGTTCTCAGCATGGTTGTCCATTACCTCTGGAGAGGTCCGAGATTCTCAACTGATCCAAGGTTGACGCAGCATCTTAGCTCATACACCTAATTTGGGAGTTGGCACATGTTGTCCCATGGGCCAAATCTGGCCCACCACCTGGCTTTGTGATTAAAGTTTTATTGGTACACAGCCATGTTCATTCATTTGTGTGTTGTCCATGCTGCTTTCATGCTGTAATGGCAGGGTGAGTTGCTGCAACAGAGACTGTATGGCTCACAAAGCCGAAAATATTTCTGTCCAGGCTTTTTTTTTTTCTTCAGAAAGTTTGCCAATCTGTGACTAATTTGTGCCAGAGCTTCCCTTTCTACTGCTAGCCAATTGCTTGTTGGAACATCCAATGCAAAGGGGTAGATGGAACCTTGTCCCCAGAAAGGCAAGGGACAAGCAGTAGTGCTTTTCCTCACTGAAGACGTGGAGTGCGTTCCCCTGGAGAGGGCACTGAAATGAGTCATTGGTCTTGTCTTTGAGGAGGACCAGAAACCAGACTGGCCATTAAGCTGGCAAAGTGGGCCAGACATGGTGGCTCACGCCTGTAATTCCAGCAGTCTAGGGGGCAGGGGTGGGCAGATCACTTGAGCCCAGGAGTTCAAGACCAGCCTCAACATGGCAAAACCCCATCTCTATTAAAAATACAAAAAATTAGCTGGCCTGGTGGTGCATGCCTGTAGTCCCAGCTACTTGGGAGACTGAGGTGGGAGGATCATCTGAGCCTGGGAGGTCGAGGCTGCAGTGAACCATGATTGTACCTGGGCGGCAGGGCTGAGACCCTGCCTGAAAAAAAAAGTTGGCAAAGTGGTAAATAGTCCAGCAGAGTTAGGACTTGAAGATTATACTCCTCACACTCAGAGCATTGTAAAATTATACGCTCTGCTTCTGGGCTGATTGAGGAGAGACTCAATCTGTCAGTTTGAGGAGCTGCAGAACAGGAGGTTGAAAGAAATGTTTGCAGCAGCACAGACAAACAGAACCTTCCGTCGTCTCCCTTGCCGTGGTTTCCAGAGGAGTGAGTTGTTCGGACTTGTGACTTTTTGGTTTTGTTTCTTAATTTTTAGTAGAGACCAGGGTTTTGCCGTGTTGGCCAGGCTGGTTTCGAACTCCTGACTTCAGGTGATCTGCCCACCTTGGTATCCCAAAGTGCTGGGATTACAGGTGTGAAGCACTGTGTGCCCGGCCCAGACTTGTGTTTCATGGATTTGTTTGTGTTTAGAGATGGAATCTCCCTCTGTCACTCAGGATGGAGTACGATCATAGCTCACTGCAGCCTCCAACTCCTGGGCCCAAGCTATCCTCCCACCTCAGCCTCCTGAGTAGCTGGGATTACCAGCACACACCACCATGCCCGACTAATTTTTCTTACATTGTTGAAGAGAACAGGAGATTGGAAGAAAGGAGATTTTCCTTCTTAAGATCTGTCCACGTTCCTGCACTTGAATCTGGCCTTTCACTTTTCTTATGTCTAACAATTAAAAATAGGTTTGAGGAATCTCTGAATACCAGTCTATGTGTCCGCTACTCACATCTAACGATACTAGGTTCTCCCTGTGCTGCCCAGGCTGGTCTTGAACTTCTGTCCTCTAGCCGTCCTCCTTCCTCAGCCTCCCAAAGTGCTGGGAGCCACCGCACCCAGCATCAGACTTGCATTTTATGTAATGATTACTCGAGTAACAGCCTACAGGCTGGAATTGATGGGGAAAAGATTAAACAAGAAAACCAGTAAAGTGCTGCAGTAGCCCAGTGAGAGGTGGCAAAAGGCTGAGTTAAGCCACAGGAGTGGAGGTTTGGAGGAAGCGATTAATTACAAGTCTATCTGAGATCAGATAGGCTGGACTTGGTGCAGCGTGGGTAGGTGGCATGTGGGAAGAGGACTCTAGGGGACTCTCCAGTTTCTGGCATGAAAGGAAAGATGACAGCGTCATTAAATTAGAAAGACACTGGAAGGAGAAGTAGAGCTGGGATGAAACATCCGTTCCATTTGGGGCACGTTTTCTTTGATTCCTTTGGGACATCAGATAGAAATGGCACGGACCTGGATTTGGAAGTCCAGTATGGAGAGGCAGAAGTTAGAAACATGATTCTCTTCGTCCATTTTATTTTCCATGCATTAAGTAAACCAAATCAAGACTCTGAACACTTTCTACCTATGTAACAGCCGGTGCAGGGAAGAAAACAAGTGTCGTTTAGTTCTAATAAGGGACACTTCCTTACCAATAGGGTTGTGTAAAAATGCATTTGGGGGGCTGAACATTAAATGGTGGCGAAATTACTGTACCTATTTATGCATCTTAGACGGGCTTGTCTTGATTTGCATTTAGATGAGAATTCCTTCAGCCCAGAACCGGGACTGTCCCCTAACTCATAAGCACTTAGAAAAGCATTAACTTTAACTGGCGAAGTATCCTTGGTACAATGGTGACACAAACCTAATACCAGTATTAACAGTGTTGCCTTAATGACTCAGGAGAAATTAGCCATTGAAATGGTGGAAAAGTTTAGAACAAGCTTCCTTTGCCATCTCTCTGAGAAGGAGCGCATGCCCTGTTAATGAATGACCGCCCAGCCTCTCGCCGTGCTTCAGTAAGCCTGTTTCCAGGGCTTGTGTGGTTTTTCCACGCTTGCGGAGGCTGAGTGCAGGACTCTACAGCATCGTTATTCTAAGTCCTGAGTAAGAACGACAGCTGTTCACCATGGGCATGATTACAGGCAGAGGTATATTTTACTCAAAAAAAAAAAAAGGAAATTGAAACAGGTGGTTCAAGGAAAAGCTTTCCAAGGAGCCACACTGAAGAAATTCTAATAGATCTCTACGGCTCTGCCCACGATTTCCTCTTCACATGCTCAATCCAAAGCCAGCGAAAGGCCCGTGCTAGTTCTTTCAATAATTGGTCAGGCTATTCAGTTATGGTGGTTGGGTCTGATGAAGCCATTACTTTCTTTCATTTGATTTTTCAAATCACATACATCTAGAGAAGTATTTGGTTCTCTTTTAAAAACAACATTCCCCTAAGATGAAGAAGTTCTGGAGACTGGCCACCCCACAGTGTGAGCATACTTAATACTGTTGACTGTCTGCTTAAAAATGGTGAAGATGGCAAATTACGCTATGTGTATTTCACCACAATTCAAACTTTTTAAAAATGGCACTCCTCTGATTATAAAAGAAAAGACATAAAAAAGAAAATTAAAACTTCCTACAATTCCACCACTTCAAGACAGATGGATAAATCCTGGTGTCACATTTTTGCCCAATTTTTGTTGTTCCTTTATACACAAATACAGAAATGGACAGATAACAGATGGAGACCCTGGTAGAAACTGTTTAGCAACTTAGCTTTTCACTTAATAGTCTAATCAGATCCCTGTCTTCAATTTACATGGTTTCATTGTTGGGGGAATGTCATTTTTTAAAGTCTTATTTTCATAAACTCTAGTAGACACACATTATAACTATTAGCTTATACAATTCAAATGATAAACCACTGGGCCTAATACAGTATACATCAAATGTTACATATAACTTGAAGAGCATTTATTATATACCAAAAGCCACTGGATAGAGATCGTATTGCTGTTTGGATAAAAATTGTGCAATTTCAGCAGAATGACTCACTATGAATCAGATTCTTGTAAGAAATTAAGTGTATAGTACTTCAGTACCAAGGGGATCATGAAAGGTCTGAGTCATTTGCCTGCCCAAGACTCAGCTGCCAGCTTGAGGAGCTGGAGAACAGGAGATTGAAAGAAAGAAGATTTTCCTTAAGACCTGTCCACGTTCCTGCACTTGAATCCGGCTTTTCACTTTTATCATGTCTAACAATTAAAAATAGGTTTGGGGAATCTCCGAATACCAGTCTATGTGTCCGCTGCTCACATCTAACGATACTAGCATTTGGATGTGGTGTTAATATGGTTTTTCCTTTCCAGAATGTAGGAATGAATTGTGGAAACAATTTTTTCATTTTTTTTTTTGAGACAGGATCTCACTCTGTCACCCAGGCTGCAGTACTGTGGCATGATCATAGCCCACGGTAACCTCAAACTCCTGACCTCAAGCAATCCCACCTCAGCCTCCCGAGTAGCTGGGACTACGGGCATGCACCACCATGCCTGGCAGAGAAATAATTCTTCATGAGCCATGCTTGATGTGTTCAGACACAGCCAGTGGAAAAATATATGCTTAATTCATTCAGAATTTCTCCTAGTGTGCCCCACAAGAGGCTTTCTATAGCGTTCCATGATGAAATAATCAAAAACATTGTCTTCAAACTAAAGCCTTTATTTTAGCTTAAGAACCTGTGATCCTTTCTGTTCCCAGGACACATGACTGTAGATGGGACTGTGTTTACACTCTGCCTGCCTACTTACTCAATCTTACAAATGAGCAATCAGAGAAAAATTCTATTTCCCGCCAGGCATTAACTGTATGCATGTAGTCTACGTGTTAGTTTCACATGGATCTGCCTGCTCAGTGACCATGCGCAAACCCCTGTGCTAAGATACCTGCGTGGCCTGAGGAGAAAAGCCTCAAAGTCAACACAAACGCTCATCCATGCCTTTTTATAAGGTGGTAAAAGCAAATACAAATGGCTTTTAGAACCAGTAGACTCAGAACATCGTCAGCATTTACCCTGTTAACCCGACTTAAATGGAAGGGGTACGTGCCATGGAACCCCCCTGAACAAAGCAGAGTCAATTTTCTATTTTTCTGAGAAGCGGAGGCTCGAGGCGGAAGGAGCAATAGAACGGGAATATATGGCCTGGATAAAACAAACACAAATAATTTTTTTAAGTCTATGCAAAACAAAATCATAAAGACACAGCTTTTTAAGTAAGCCACCTAGATCAAATGTCAGAAGATGGAACTGCATTTACAAGTATATTTTGGTGAGTTGCTTGAGAGCATAGATAAAGGTCAAATTTTATTTCTGTTCAAACAGCACTGTAACAAGTTAGTTTGAATCATGGTTGATTGCTCAGGCACCAGATCCCCTCACTTCTCAAGAAAGTCAGCAAAATCTTCCTGCAGCTCAACACGGTACCAGCAATTCAGTGCCCATCGTTAGATTTCATTCCCTTCTCCGATCTTACTGAGTAACATTCTGAGTTGACTCAGCAGATCATCATCCTCAGTAATTAGGAAATTCTGTGCCTCATTTCCAGCTTAGTCCTTTAATACAAATGGGCACCAGTCAAATAATGGAAACGGGCTCTTCATTTGTCTACACCAGAAATAACCTGATGGCACACTTAGAATTCTGCTACCCGCTTAGCGATAGGAGCTGTGGGTTAGTTTAAAATCATCTTATAGCGTGTTCTTCATTAATGTGCTAGGGATAAGCCTGTTTTGCGCTATTTCAGCGTGTGTTCGCACCCCGATACTGAATTAGATCAGGCACATTTGGTGGCAAATAATTTTTGAAATGTCATTTTCAGTCTTAAAATAATGTTCAATGGACTTGGCAAACGTGCAGAACAACTCTTGCTTTATAGGTGCCCTGGGATCTGTGGAACACATTTTCCATCATTCTTTTTTTTGAGATGGAGTCTTACTCTGTCACCCAGGTGGGAATGCAGTGACACCAACTCGGCTTACTGCAACCTCCGCCTCCCAGGTTCAAGCCATCCTCCTGTCTCAGCCTCCCAAGTAACTGGGATTACAAGTGTACGCCACCATGCCCAGCTAATTTTCGTATTATTAATAGAGATGGCATTTCACCCTGTTAGCCAGGCTGGTCTTGAAATCCTGACCTCAATTGATCCACCTGCCTCGGTCTCCCAAAGTGCTAGAATTACAGGTGTGAGCCACCGAGCCTGGCCTAAACACCCTTTTGAGATTTTTACCTTTGCACTTTTGAATTCCATGATGTTACTTGAATCAAACTATTGATCCACTACAGTCAGGTCACCTTTCATTCTTAGGAAGCAACAACATCAAAAGAGAAAACGCCTTTTTGATTTATTTACACACGCTGCCAAGACACTGGTATCCCTCTCCCTACATCCTAATAAATGGATTCAGTCCTTCAAAGGTTTATGTTTAGCCAGATGTATTGTTGGATTAAGATACTTGCATATGGAATAAATTCTGGGTTTTCTTTTCTTTTTTCTTTCTTTCTTTTTTTTTTTTTTTTGAGATGCAATCTGGCTCTGCTGCCCAGGCTGGAGTGCAATGTGCAATCTTGGCTCACTGCAACCTCCACCTCCTGGGTTCAAGTGATTCTACCACCTCAGACTCCCAAGTTTTTGGGATTATAGGCACCTGCCACCATGCCCAGCTAATTTTTTGTATTTTTAGTAGAGACAGGGTTTCACCGTGTTGACCAGACTTGTCTTGAATGAACTTCTGACCTCAGGTGATTCACCTGCCTCAGCATCCCAAAGTGCAAGGATTACAAGCATGAGCTACCGTGCCCGGCCAAATTCTGGGTTTTCTTATTGTCATGAAGCATAGTTTGTATTGTCATCCTTTTAAAATTTTTAGTTATTTCCAGTTTTTCTTGACTCATTAGATAACACATTTATGGTTCTCAATGGCCATGATAAATGATTATGTACTTATTATTTTTTAGACTTAACTATAACAATAAAGCACAATCTAGTGCTACTCAGGTTTCAGGTTTTAAAAAATTAGACTGAGTTTTTGTTTAAGATAAAAATTCCAGGGTTTCAAACAGCTGTATTGCTGGTAATGAAATTTACAAATTAAGTTTGCCTGTTTACTCTTACCACGTCACAGAGAAATAACTAAATGGGTTTTCACCAAATTTGGGTAGTAGGCTTGAGATGGCCTGACTCAAAATGTAGGCTGTGTGGGGTGTGGCAATAATTTACTGAGCTCTTACTAAGTGTAGGCACTCTTATAAATGCTTTCTATGTAATTAACTAACATGTTTCTTACTGCTCAATGAGGTAGGTGCTGCTATGATCCCATTTTGCAGATGAGGAAACTGAGGCACGGGGAGCTTCATGGATGCGTCACACAGCACACAGGGCCCCGTGTTTAGATGAGTCCCACCCTTGACTTAATGGTGTATTGTCACATTGCTCCTAATTTTTGAGCAAGGGGCCTCTTACTTTTTTTGCTCTGGACCTGGCAAATTATGTAGCCAGTCTTGGAGCACTTTAATAAATTGCTCCAGCCAGGGTTAAGCCCAGGTAGTATGTCCAGAACCCATACTTCTTACCGTTGCCGAACTACCCTTGGAAACTGAGTTTTAGTCCAAGAGAGGCTGCCAAGCCACCAAGCAGCTGTGGGCTTCTTGCCCAGGGTGCCCCTTGGCACACAGGCAATTCTACTTGGGCTGTGTTAGGGTACAGCAGCAGACAGATTCAGGAGGGCTCACGATTCGCAGGGGCGATCGGCTCCTATCTAACAGGCTGTTGTGGAGAGGAAAATGGAAAAAGCAATGCCTCGCAGGGCACTTTGGGGCCCAATACCTTTGAATGGCGGTGCAGGGCTGCCCAGAGGTGGGGCGTGCTTTCATTTCTCTGATTTGGAGTCCTTCAAGAATACAAAACTATTGCTGTTTGTTTTCTGGAAGAATGCCCAAGAAATAACAAGTAAAAACATAAAAATATAACGACTTGTTCACATATTTCCTGAGTAACACCTGTAATCTGGGTCCCTCTACTCAGGTTAAATTTGGGAATATTTCATTTTCAAGAGTGAATTCAACAACAACAACATATTCTGATCGGGCATGGTGGCTCAAGCCTGTAGTCCCAGCTACTTAGGAAGCTGAGACAGGAGAATAGCTTGAACCCAGGAAGTGGAGGTTTCAGCGAGCTGAGATAACGCCACTGCACTCCAGCCTAGGCCATAGAGTAAGACTCTGTCTCAAGAAAACCCAACATATCCTGAGCTACTTTGACATTTCTGCTCCTCTTCCTCCTCTACTTTGTCTTCATTTACTGACTCTGGCACTTTCTCCAATATCAGACTGAGCATAATAAAAGCATAGGAGAAAAATGACAAAAAGGAAAGTAAATTATAGTACACTATATGGTTTGGCTCAGGTGTCAGTAGTATTTGCATAGTTGTAATAAGTCAAAATCTTGAATATTGACATAACAAAAGAAGTCATAATTATATGGGCGGTGGGAGGAAGGCAGAGTACATTTGAGAGAGGTGA